GGGGTTTAGGGTGTAGGGTTTCCTCTGCATTATAAACCTTAAAACCCCTCAAAGCCCTTGAAAAGGTAAAAAAACCTTGCGCCCTGAAACTTGTACGCCCTGAGCTTCTTGAACTCCCAGCACATCCTGAAATCATAAAACCCTAAACACCTCACAATAATAATCATACTCTTCACGATAAGAATCATAGTCATAATAACCCTAATCAATAACATCTCCAGGGCTGTGGCGAAGCCGTGCGTCATCGCGTGAAGGATTGCCTTGCCACCTGGCTTCCACTTCTGAAAGCTCCTTGAAGGAGCCTTCTTCAGGGCTCTCTCGGGTTTTTTTCCCACCCGCCCAGCTGACTAAGTCGCACCGCAGGGAACTCGTTCGACGATCAGGATTTGGGGTTTAGGGTTCTGCAAGAAGTGCTCTTTCAGGGCTCTATGCAGGGCTCCTGCAACAAGGGCTCCAAGTTTTGGGGTTCAGCAGTCCACTGAAGGCTTGGAGTTTGTGGTTGAGGGGCTGTTCGCCTACTGGGTATCGACTTTCGGGTTTAGGGTTTAGGATGAACGCAAGTTTCTGGTTCAGTCAGTCTTCAGGCATTGGTACAGCAATCAGCCGGGATGGCATGGCGAGGTCGTCGGCATGTTGGCACATTGCAGCCTCGGAAAAAGCAGGCCATGTAGCCTTCAACTTCCAAAGCTTCCAGAATCCCTCAAAGAAAGCAGACTAAAAAGTCCCAAAACCCAGACCCCTTAAGGCACAAACCCCCCACCCATGGAAAACTCCTCTACCCAAGACCCTCACATCCCTAAAGCCTTTTCTCTTGCCGCTGATAATGCCCACGAGCTTCGCTGGCCGATCGAACTCGCAACACAAAACGCTAATATAGAAGCCTAAATAACTACGAAAGTGTTTAGGGTTCCTTGTTGTAACTATACTATAAAGGGGCCCAAAACCCTGTTCTAATCATTACGGCCCCGACATTAAGCCTGAGATAGCGTCTCACTCCCCCGAAACTCCGAATTGATGCCTCGCCGGGTTTAGAGTTTAGGTGCCACGCCAAGTTCGCAACCCCTTTGTCTGGGCATGTAATTCTGTAAATCAGCTTCCCCTTTTGAGTCCCCCCCAAAAAAATGAAACCCTTGTAAAACGACCTTAAAAGGTACCCGAAATTGGAGAACTACCAAATTCGTAAATTAAGAACCTCTTATCTTTGTAAGGAAACAGGGGAATCTTCCCGAGTTGCAAGGATCGCTGGGTCCGTCCCCTAAGGCCTCCGGCACTTAAGGAGGACGAGCATTTGAGGGCTCTTCTCTGCGTCTGGAGGATGAGAGGGCATGATAGGCCTATTTCGACAGGTCCTTCTAGGTAAAAGCCTGGGACCCGAAAACCTTGACTGTTGACCTCAAAGCCCTACATCCTAGACTCTACGCCGCTCCGGTCCTGAATGCTCTCCCGGCTTTGAGGGAGCGTCAGCCATTTCCGGGCCGATGGCCCCAGACGTCACTCAGTCGTGCGGGCCTTCTTCTTCAAGGGCTCTGCCAGGTCCGCTTTCTGCGACTCTGCCTAAGTGTTGGACGTGTTTCTATGTACATGTGGTCTAAGGCTTAGGAATCGTTTTGGACTTGTTTGTATCAACTGGGGTTTTGGCTCATATAGTCCTTATGACTTTGGCTTCAAGAAGGGCTTGCCCGGTTTGCGGTAATCTCTTGAAGAGTCTGTGTTTAGCACTCTAAAAATTGAACCGTCAGTTCAACCCGAGAATTTCAACCATAATCCTTAAACCCTAAACCCTAAACTCAAACCCCAATCCTGTGCCGTAGTCTTCGCCGCTTGCGCCTGGAAGAACTCTTTACCTGGCATGAAGCTCAAGCCATCCACGTGGCCGCCAGCCTCCTGAGACATATGGGCATTGGCCTAGTAGGGTCATGGTGGAGATGACTTCCGTAACCTGCCTTGGAGTCTATTTATGCCCTTAAGCCTTCTAGTATGCTTACGAGAGAATAGTCATAGAACGAAGCTGTGATCACACACGCGGAGATGCAGGATGCCCTCACCCATTACCTTAAACTACCATGCTCCTGCAATCATTTGGGGTTCGGCGACGTGTGTATTCACAGTGTTCCGCGCGATACTCCTGACCTGCTTGTTTGCAAGTTCTTACTATGATATGGAATTTATAGGGGGCCCTACCAAAAAATCGGCTTTGGTGGGTTCAGATATGCTGTCCATCACCTGCATGGTGTGTCGGGACGGTTGTGTCAAAGGGGCGACATAAATTATAAATCCCAATCTTAAACCCTTTTTCCTGAACCCTAAACCCTAAACCCCAAACCCTAAAACCAGAAACTGCAACTCCACATTGGCAACCTAGGGCCCCGAGCCGCAGATCTACGACCCAAGCCTTTTCCGACCCTGATTTTCTCGGCTTCTGGCTAGAAGCAGACTTCGGACTTCTTCTTATTTACATTATGATTGTTCTAGTCTTACTTACTCTTGATGTCATTACTATTCTTACTGCTATGATTTTTTTTCCGCAGTAGCAGCAGAAGTGGTGGTGGTGGTGGTGGTTTAACTTGAGTTAAGGCGAAGGGCTTTAGGGTTTAGGGTTGGGGTTTAGAGATCAGGGGCTTCAAAAACTAGGGAATCTGCAGTGTCACAGTCGGACACTGGCAGATGAGGCTTGTTGGAGGTTAAGGAGTTAAGGGTTCAGGGTTAGTTTTCAACTCCTCCGACTACCGGCACTGTTGGTGCTGTTGCAACCCGAGTCTGGGAGTCTGGGCCTACAACCCGAAACAACGGAGCCGAAACCCCTAAAACCTGGAACCTCAAAGCCCTACTGTAGGGGCCAAAAAAGGATTTGGGCCCCTTTTAGGGTAGAGTTCTAATGCCTACTGCAAGGGCCTTAATAATTACTATAGGGCTTGGGGTTCCTTCATGGTATACAATACAATAAGGAACCCGTTTGGCTTTAATGATTAGAATCAGGTTTGTGGGCATGTTCTACTACACGTTCCATAAGGAGCCCCCAAAAAATGGCATTGCCAATTATTTCGGCCCATATCTTAAGCCCGAAACACGAGCCTGCACGTGCTGGCAGACCCCAAGCACCAAGTCCCCAGACTGGGCCGGGAAGATGGCAAAGGCTGAGTCATCATCCACCCAGCGAATCCTCTCGTGAGGCAACTTGCGACTTCGTGGCTTCGAGTCTGTAGTCTAGGGTGTGAGGGTGTGGACGACATCCTGAACTTGGTTGGGGACATACGGCTTATTGCTCTTATTTTACGAATTACTGTAAGGGGACCGGGTGGAAGGGAGCCGAAACCGAGGCAAGAGTCTGGAAGGAGTCGTTGCTGTCCAGGGTCACCTCCATGTCGGATCCCTCCGGCTTGGCTTTGATCTTCTTCAGGATGCTCTGCAGAATTTCGGTAAACTCCGTGGCATTTCGGCCCGTCAAACCCCTGGTGTGCAGGTAGGCACCATCCGTAACGAGTTCATCCTCGCCCTGCAGGTTGACGTTGAAGAAGTTTCGGAACATCACCAGACGGCCCTTGAATGTCTTGTCGCCTTCCTCGGCCGGCACATGCCTGGCCATGTAAGCAAAGGCGCCTTGGATGGGCTGAGACTTCTTTAGGTGTTTGGGTTCCCTCCTAGTTCTTGAGCTCTCACAACCGAAAAACTTTCATGAACACCAAGACACATCCCGTGATGTAGGCATCAAAGCCGGCTTCGTGATACGAGGCGGCTGTTGCGTACCTCTCATGCCCCTCTGCCAGCGTGATCTGCACCGTCTCCACACCGTCTGCTCGTTGGGCCTCTGCCTCCTCTCGCAAGACCCGATGCACCTGAAGAACGTCTCAGAGTGGGGGACACCCATAGCCCTCACCTCCTTTGCTTTCATGCAGAAAGACCTCGATAGTCGCCTCCCTCAAATCTACCTTAAGACACCCACAACCCAACACCCCTGAAGCCCTAAACCCTTTTGCAAACCGGCTTGAAAGGTCACGCCAGGACAGTTAAACCCTAAACTCTGAAAACCCCCCGAAAAAGCAAAAAGCAGTTTCGAACCGAAAGTCCTAGACCCGAGACCCTAATCCCTGCCTGTAACCGGAAAGACCTACCCTTTTAAGGACTACATATTGAAACCAGAATAAGGAACCCTAAAAAAGGTAGGTCTTTCTGCTACAGGTAAACTTCCTCCCGGCAGCTTAAACGTTAAATGCACATACATACACCGCAGCGAAAGAAAGAATATCATGTATATAAGTACTTATGTATCGATCTATTAATTTATTCGTGTATCTGTTTACCTGTCTATTGATTTATTGATCGATTCATCTTTTTGTTTTTAACTATTTATCTATGTATCTCTTTATTTGTTTGTCTGTTTATCTACTTATGAATTTCTCTACTTATCTATCTATTTATTTGTTTGTTATTGACTTGTGTACTTACACATTTATTCATATGTGTGGATGTATGTCATATGTATATATATATATGTGTGTGTGTACACACCTCTACATGTACATACACATATGGATACATGATATATGTATAGACATACATACCTACCTACCTACCTACCTACATACATACGTACATACATACATACATACATACATACATACAAGTAAATGTAGCACATACATATATCTATATATATATATGTGTGTGTGTGTGAAAGTCTGTACATATTTACACTCATACTCATACTCATACACATGTGCAAATGCAAACGCCAATGCATGTACATATACAAAAGCACATAACATAAGCACATGCAAACGTTCACAAACACATGATAATACATCTATGATAGAATCTATGAGCTCATCTATGTGTCCATGTGCCTGTGTGCAGTTCATTCAGACTTCCCGTCTCTCTGTCTGCCGTTGTATGCTCCACAGAACCCGTCAGAAAACCTGTTGCAGTACTAATTCGAACAGGGCTTGCGGGGATTGTATACCATGTGTGTATATATACATATACACTTTTTGCACACGCACACACACACACACAGAGACAGAGAATATAAGGGCACAGTATTTATACTTGTTCCGAGCCCTACATTATAATCGCACCCGCGCTGACCCGGGCCTCGCCCAAAGCGAAGCTCTTGAAGCGCTGCTGCAATTCCCCTCTCCAGACTTGGCTTAGGGTTTTGTGGCCGAATGCAGGGTGAAGGGTCAAAGTCTACGGAGTGTAGGGTTTAGGATTCAGGGCGTAGGGTGAAGGTTTACGAAGTTAGGGTTTCGGGCTTAGGATTCAGCGGCTCGGGCATATGAACGTTTAAGCTTCCCGGGCCAAGGATGGTCTAGGGCCTGTCTAGGGCTCAGGGTTTACGCAGGGGTTTCTGGGCCTAGCCAGGCTTCTAGCATTAACAGTGCTGGGACTGCAGGGCAAAGATTAGACTCCGAACCCTGGAAACACCGGTTGACCCGTTGGCAGGTACGATTTGGGGTTGGCCGCGGTGTGCTTTTCAAGCTACATCTCAAAATCTTAAGATATTTCGGGCCACCTCACCGGAATCTTCTCGAACTCTCGGTTTCGCAAGGCCTCACCTGAATCTGACTTCAACTTCAAGACGTCGCTTCTCGCAAGCAGCTGCGTGTCATACACGCTTGGGAACAGATCGCAGACAGACTTCTTGAAGTCTGAGAATGACTCAGGCAGGGGCCCCTCGAAATGAGAGAAAGCGAACATCAAATCATACAAGCAGGCATGGCCGATGATCGGCTTCTTCGAGTTCGCAAGTGCAGCAAACACCCGTCGGACGCCCACTTTCATCGTGAATTCTGCTTCCTTCTCCGCCCTGATCCTCGCATCGCGCTCCACCTTCTCAGCTGCTGTAAGCCGGAGTGCAACCATCGTAGATAAACCACGGATCTTCGTGGGTCGAGACTCCACCGCCAAGTCAGGAAAGCTTTCCCGCAGTGTTTCGTGCATAAAGCGACGCAGATATGCATTGCAGGTTATGATTTCGAACTCTTTCTGGTCCTGCCCCTCCTCGGCCAGCCAATCTTTCAGGCTTGCAATGGCCTTGTCAGTGTTCTCAATGTCGAAGGTGCTCGTCAGTTGGATACGCTTTGCGGCCGGGCTCGTATTCTCTTCCGGGAACAGCTGTAGCTTCAGCTTTGCTGCAGCCTCCCGAGTCACGTACGGAACTCCTTCTCGAATCCAACTATTCCAATCCATACCGTTTTTGGAATTGAAATGAACAGAACTGGCTTCCATGTTAACGGCACCAGTCTCTGGGAATGTGTAGAAGTTGTAAGCATGTGCGACAAACTTGTTCTCACTGCCCTCTTCTTTAGTGAAGAGGGCCACACCGAACTGTATGATACTGTAATTGGAAGCCACCCGCCTCATCTTTGAATAGCGTGTGCTTGGTGCATCACCTATAAATTCCTGCAGGCCTGGCAGAAAAATGCCTGTCATCTCTTCATCGATTGCCACAAACTCGACACTCGGCAGCAAGCGTTCGATCTCTGCTGCCGCATCTAAAAAGTTGCTTTTCGTGACGTTCATGGCACAGAACGCCTCGGCGACCCTAGGTCCGAAGCTCCAGTGCTGCCATGGAAAACCTATATGATCAATATGTGATACTTGATGAACTCTTCGGAATATGAGAGTGGAACCCGGGCTCATGCAAGGAAGGATGTCGGGGGTCCATGCCTATGTGATGAAACACCATGCAACGGCTTTTGAGGTCGCGGGCGTGCACATAACAGAGCCGATTGCTTCGGTTTCACAGGTTCACACGAACAGGGACACCATGCCAAAAGACTTGAAGTTCACTGTAACTGCTAGCCAACTGCATGCAAAGTGTGATGCTACCGATTCAGGGCGGCTTAGTAAAACAACACAACGTGGCCACACCATGTCACACCGCCATGGGCTCCTGCCCTGCCATGCATGTGAGGTCCTGCAGAAGGCCATGGGTTTACGGTTTTTGCCCGGGGACTCTAAACGTCAGAATCATATTTTGCATGGCAAAGGTACCTACCGGTCGTGATGCTCACTACACGCATTACGTTGTGTCGATGCAATGGGGCGACATGCCTGCACACAAATTCTTTGAACTTTTGCAACTGGCCGACTGGCCGACAAAGCTTCTATTTGCTTGCATCACTGACACGGCCTCACCGGCTTGTCGCGGTTCCCTCACTGTCTAGCTCAAGCCTGAAAGATTTCCGGGCTATTGACCTGTGGGCAACCACCGCCTGTCTTGCAAAACGACAATGCGAAGGCATGGACCGGTGCAAGCCGCAGCCCGCCCAAGCATGAAACCTGACGACGAGCATGACACCAAACTGCAACACTAGGGGTCACGCGTGGGCTGCAAAAGTACCTGAAATTTGGATGCATTGAATCTGTCTGAATGTTGTCGTGTCACAAAACGTGCTCGGGGCCGTGCCATGATACATATCCATGGTCCAACGGAAACACCTGGACTTTCAGCAGACTAAGGACTGGTGACATGCCCCAGTGCCCCTTCCTCACAGCAGGCTCTGAGGGACGCGCGGCTGTAAAGCCGTGACATTGACGAGTGCGCCATGGCTGCACACAAGCTGGAAGCCAAAGCTTGCGGCATTCCATCACGCACCACTACCAATCCCGCAACATGGACATGGCTCGACGAGAACCTGTTCACGAGCATGTACACACTGATGCATATGCACTTCTGTCGCGGTACCTCGGCACCGGCAATCAGCGCAATCGTGTTTCTCCTCTCCGTGCCTTGCCATGGCAAGCCTCTGGCTATCAAAACAATGCAAGAGGTGGCGAATGACGATCGAACAGCCCGAACAAAAGACAGCGCCCCAACTTTGCGTTTCCAGTTGCCATCTGTATGCACGCGTTCCCCATATTCCTTTGCCACTGTCCCCGTGTCTGTCCTAGCCGCTAGCCGTTGTTGTCCCCCTTTCTCTCCCTTCTCCCCTTCTCCTGTTACCTCGCCCCCCTTATCCCCTTGCCCACCTTTCTTTCCTTGCCTGCAAAAAAAACTTGTCCCCCTTCTTGTCCTGCCTTGTCCTCCAACCTTGTCCCGTTCGTCCCGTTGGTCCCCCTTCTCCCCGTTGTCCCCTTCCCCTTCTCCCCCATCCCCGTGTCCCGCCCCCGCGTCCTCCCCATTGGCCGCTGTCCCCTTGTCGCCCTTGTCCCCCTTGTATTCCTTTGGCTCTCTGTCCCCCTTGTCTTCCTTGTCTCACTTGTCCCACGTAGTCTCCGTTGTCCCCTTTTCCCTTCCCGCTTGTTGTTCTTGTCCCCCTTGTCCCTTTTGTCCTGCTTGTCCACGCATGTCCCCGTGTCCCCCTTGTCCCCTTATCCCCCTTGACCCTCTTGTCCTTGTCCCCCTAGTCCCCCTTGTCCCTTCTTTGTTCCCTGTGTCCCCCTTGTTTCCCTTGTCCCGTTTGCTTCCTTGGTCCCCTTGTTGTCCCCCCTTCTTATCCCCCGTTGCTGTCCCCATGGCTGTCCCCCTTGTTATCTCCCTTATTGTCCCTTTGTTGTCCCGCTTGCTGTCCCCCTTGTTGTCCCCGTGTTGTGCCCCTCTTGTTGTCCCCTCTTTTCCCCGTGTCCCCGGTGTTCCCCGTGTTTCGCCGGGACACCCGGTCCTGCGTGTCCCACTTGTTTTCCTTGTCCTTGTCCCCCATTGTCTCCCTCGACCCCCTTCCAATCCCTTGCCAACCCTTGTCCCTTTATCCCCCTTGCCAGCCCTCGCCAACCCTTGTCCCCTTCTCTTGTCCCGCGTTGTCCCCTGGTCCCCCTTGTCGATCACCCTTGTCCCCCTTGGTTTCGCTTGTTTCCCTTGTCCCCCTTGTTTCCCTGGTCCGTTGTTCCCCCCCCCCTTGTTGTCCCTTTATGGTCCCCCTTTTGTTGTCTCCTTTGTTGTCCCTTTGTTGTCCTTTTCCCGTGTTGTCCTCCCCTCAGTGTTGCCCCCCTTGTTCCCCTGTGTCCCTACGGTCCCCGTATCCCGTCGTGTCTCGCCGGGTGTCCCGGTCCTGCGTGTCCTGCATGTCCCCCTTGCTTTCCTTGTCCACCCTGTCCCCCCTCTCTTTCCATTGTTTCCCGTGTCGCCTTGTGTTCCTTGTCCCCCTTGTCCCCCCTTGCCAGCCCTTGCCAACCCTTGTCCCCCTTGTCCCCCCTCGTTGGGCGCGTTGTCCCACTTGTTGTTCCGCCTTTTTGCCTTGGTTTCCCCCGAATTGTTGTCGCCCCTTGTCCTCCTGGTCCCCAATGTCCCCCGTTGTCCGCCTTGTCCTCCTTTTCGTTCGCTCGTGTTTTTTCCGGTCTCCTGTGTCACCTTTCTCCCCCTTGTCCCCTTTGTCCCCGTTGTCCCCCTTGTCCCCCTTGTTCCCCATGTTCCCCTTGTCCGCCCCCCTTGCTCCCCTTGTCCCTTGTCCCCCTTGTCCCCCTTGTTTCCCTCGTCTCCTTGTTGTCCCCCTTGTTGTCCTGTGCTTTCCCCCTTGTTGTCTCCCTTGTTGTGCCTTTTGTTGTCCCCGTTGCTGTCCCCCTTGTTGTCTCCCGTGTTTTCCCTCCCCCCCCCTTGTTGTCTCCCTTGTTCCCGTGTGTGCCCACGGTCCCCCGTGTCCCCTTTTGTCCCGCAGGCCTTGTCCCCCTTGTCCTTCCTGTGAGCATTGTGACCCTTGTCCCCTGTCGCCCCGGAGAATGTCTCCGTGTCATTTGCTTCTGTCCCCTGTTTTCCCTTTCCTTCTCCCCCTTTGTACTCGTCCCCCCGCGTTTCCCCTTTGTCCCTCCTTGATCTTTTGCCCTCCCCTTCTCCAATGTTGGTTTCCCTTGGACGTCTTTGGTGGACGCATTTTTTTGATTCAGCGCCAGCCTCTGCGCAGAGACGCTCGTGGTGACCTGGCCTCGGCCTCCCGCTTTGCAGTGGGCTGTCAGAGCGGCGCTTGCATCTGCAGCACGCTGTTGCAAAAACGGGCTGCTGAGGCCGTCCCTCTTTCGATTTTTCATTTTCCGACAGTCCCTTCATGCGGTCCATGTGCAGCTGCGCCCTACGGTTCCCGGCAGCGGGCTCGCCACGCACGCATCACGCATAAGCAGGCGGAGCGTCCTGTAAGCCCCTTCAGCTCGGCCCGGCATGCGACTGCACTCTGGCGCTTCTTCTTGCCAGCGCATGTCAGCCAAAAGCTCGTGCAAAACAGGCAACGAGCGCACTCGCCCAGGGAGAGGTGCAGCAGAGAGGGTGGCAAGTGCTTGCTGGGCAGCGAAGGCAGTCATGTACGAGGCAACCGGTCACCAGGTTCATCTCGGCGAAGGGCCTGACTTTTGAGGAAACCTGCTCATTGCTGCGCAGCGGTGATGGAAAGTGTTTCTTCTGCAACCGGGGTGATGTGTAGCTTGCAACATGCGAGAAGCAACAGCCGGTGCCCGCGCCTGCAACACGGGGAGTACGAGTCGGACGTCGCAGGACAACGCCAGTCCGAGTCGGAGTTGCTCCGTGCGTTCCGCCCCCCATCTGTGCGGAGCGACCGGCCGAGGCAGCTGCAGCCGCTGTCCTTGCCTCGCCTGGCACGGCGCTGAGCGACGCTGCAGCGCCCGGATGGAACAGCAAGCAGCAAGTCGGTTTAGCGGAGGTACGTCAAGCAAGCACGGGAACCATCGCAGCCATGGCACTGCCAGCTGAAGCTGGACCTGCGGGGAGCTGCCCATAGGGGCACTATTCATGCCGATTGGCTTCCCGGCCCTGGCAAGCGCATGCGGCAGGGCAACGCGGTGTGCTGGAGCCGACCTCAAGGTCTGTCATGGTCCTCTTGGCCCGGCGCGCCAGCAGGCATCGTGAGGAGACGCCACGTGCATTGACGATGGGGAGCTCATGCAGCAGCCGCACTTCCAGCAAGTGCGCGTCGGTGTCGGGCTGGGGGGTGCCAAGAGCCGCCACACGCCTCCCCCGAGCCCACCAATGCCAGAAGGAGCGGGCCCCTCCAGCACGACTGGAGACCCGGATCTTGCCGAGATTGGCAGCGACATCTGCCCGTGTTTCCCTGAGCGGGCTGTGTAACGATGAACCCGTGACTGAACGGATTATTGCGGCGGTATGAACAGGAATGTTATATCCTTGTTTTGTATTTATCAAGTGCAACATGCATGTTTCCTGATGTCAACGATTTGCTTTTGATTTGTTTTTGTGTTAATTTGTTCTCTGACCGTGACTCACACGGCTCTTAACCATGACGTGTGTCCGAACGGATGGCTAAAACGGAATCTCGGAGTGGTGCTCCCCAGCTAAGTCACCGCATGCAGGAGCGGAGCAGGCAAGGCTGTGAGACACTCGCAGGAGTCGGCGGCAACAAACATGTGATGGCGACCACGGTGTACGATGCCGGTGCGACGTCATCTCTTTGTTCGCACGCTTTGCCCTGGTGGATGGTGTGCCGCTGGCGGTCGGCATCCCACCAATGGCAAGTGGACTAACCCGTACCCGCCAGGACGACAGCCTCCAACCTGCGCAGGAGCACGGCGAGCGAGTCGGTACGGAGCATGCCCGAAAGTGCATTTGAGCCAGCACAAGT